TAATGGCCTGAATTATTTGTATTCCCCCCAACCCAACCCAACACACAAATCCACCAGCTGTTTAATATATTAGTTAAAATAAACACAATTAAAGTCATTTTAAGTATTATATATATATATATATATATATATATATTATTTTAAAAATATATATCTTATGAAATTATAATCGTAGCTTTTCAGTTAATTTTAAACTTTTATCAATTTTTGTTTTAAAACCATGCATTTTATTGAAAGAATAGATTACCTGAATAATTAAAAAAAGGTATAACAAAATAAAAATAAAAAGAGGGAATAACTGATAAATATTACTAAGGTATTGAGGGAAAAACTAAAATATAATAATGAATTATAAGGTATAATATCAAACAGTACTATTTCAAATTGTGAGACAAATTATTTACTAAATATCTATAAATTAATCAGTTAAACTTTTTTAAGTAACCATAATTAAAATGAATAGCCGAACAAATTCAAATGATTTAATTTTGGTTTAAAACTCTCTCGTGATGTTTTCTCAAATAATTTCTTACTATCCAGCATATAGAAAGAAAGCTGAATTACTACTTTACACTAAGTGTATATTTAAATTATAGTTAGAAATTGAATTCAACTTAACTTTTTAAATCAACTTTCAAAAAAAACTCTTCTGGTTTTAAATTCAACTGAGATTTATTTATGATTTACACTCAATGGAATGAGAATTTTTTTTATCAAACATGTAGACACTGCATTTGAGACTAATTACTTGAAGTTACAAGTTTCAAATGTGTAATCAAACATAGTCTAAATGCCAACTTCTGACATTAAATTGAAATCTTAAGATAAAAATGTAATATGATTTATAGATAATTTTGTCCTTTAAGTATATGATTAGGAATTTGATTTCTTATTTGTATGTATCGAAAAATAACTATATGGAAGAAATCAATCTCTTAAATGAATGTCTAAATTTCAAGGGATTAGTTCTTAGCTTCCAACTTAAGATACTTTGGTTTATTCAAAAGAAAAAAAATGTGCCATTATTTTTTGTAATACTGTTTTATGTATAATAAATTATCGTAAAACAGTTTCAATTTTCATGATTATCCAATTGCATAAATTTTATAATGTGATTTTTTTTATTAATATTTTACTTAGATATAACCTATTAGCTTGTTAACTTATTTCTACATATTATTTGAAAATTTCAATTTCTAAACATTTGGATTTATTACAAATAACAAGTGATCCTAAAGTTATGGTCATTAACATTTTTTTATCGAAATATCAATATCTATATTTTTTTTTTACAAAACTTGTTTATTAATTTTAGCTCAAGCATTGCCTGTGTACATTCTCTTATTAAACAAGTTATATTATATTGCATCCTTAACGAGTGAGATGACTAGTAGATGCATATTTTGTACAATTTAATTTATGCGTGTTTAGAATAGTATGTTAAAAGAGTTTGTTTCTGTAAAAGTAATCACTTATTTTTTAAAAAAGATTACGAAATTGAGTTGAACCGAATACACACACTTATCTAATGTCATATCAGTTTTTTAAAATGCAATTCTGGAAATACACTTCAGCTATAAATAAAATAAAATACACAACAGCGGTTAGGACATCTGAGTTATAATAACATAGAAGCCCATAAATGTTGGGCCATCTAAAATTGCTGAACCCTTTTTAGTTAGGCTCATAATATATATACTTTTTTTTTTTTTTTATAAGTACACCTCCTTTATTTTTTTTTTAAAAAATTATAAAATATTATAATTCTTTTTAATTTTTTTAATTTTACACCTCTAACTTTTAATTTGCTATTTTCTTCTTCCTTTTCACATACTTCTTTTTCTTTTTAGTTTTCACATACTACTAAAATAGGTGAGACGAAGGAAAAGTAAAGGAAGTGCATGTAAAAATTGAAAAAAAGAAGAATGATGTGTGAAAAAAAAATATTAAATTAAATGTTGTAGATGTAAAATTAAAAAATCTTTAAAAAAATTAAGAATTTTTAAAATTTTAATTATTTTTTTTAAAAAGAAAGTGCACTTATAGAAAAAAGGAGGTGTATAGGTGTATATATGATCAACCTTTTAGTTATGCAGCGTTCTTCCCGTTTGGGAGTTAGTGATTGGCCCAATCCTTGGATTAAAGCCTTTCCATATGACTATAATCTCCTCTGTTAGGATTTCTTTCTTTCTTTTGTTTTTTGCTTTTGTAAGAGAAGTACTTTTTAAGATATAATTTTTTTAAAAAAAATTTCATGAGTTTGTTTCGTCTATTTATATATCAAGCAACACTAAACTACTCGCTTGACATTGATGTTACAATTTCATCACCCCAATTCCCCGTTTATTTTAAAAATGATACAGATATATTTCAAATTATCAATCGAGTTAAGAATATTCCACACTTTTATTAATATAACTTTCAAACATTAATTTAATTTAACACAAAATTATATTGTGTTTAAAAGTAATTTTTAAGTAAATGATTATCCTGCAAAATTTTAGAGAAACAAGGTTTTTTTTTGCCTAAATCCCTACTATAAATACATTTTCTAACGTATTCTTTTAAGCACGCTATTATTAGCTAACTTAGAATGAATTATAGCATTCATACAAAGATTTCAACACTTTTTACATTATTTTTTCTCCCTCACTAATTCTATTTTCTTACTCTCATAATTTTAATATATATATTTGCTACATAAAAATAAGTCTCTATTGCAATAAATATGCATCAGTTGAAGGACGTCGTAGCTAACTAACAACAATGACATCATCAAGATAGCCAAATGTTGTTGTTTCAAGAAGAAAAGCATATTTTTGCTCCGGTGACAACCATTGTTTAACATATTTCAAGATTTGCCGAAGCACAAACCGTAAATTGCGACATTGAAAAAACACACAAGACAACCGTTTAACATTCTACAATATCACAGTAATCATCCTCATGGATTGATTTCTTATAACTTGGCAAATTAACTTAGAGGTTGACCAATCGAAAGGGGATGAGGAAGATGAAAAAGGAGTAGACAATGTTTTGTTCTAATTAATCAATGACACGAAAACATCAATAAACAACACCTTTTCCATTTCAATTAAAGTATCAGCGACTGTAAGAAAATAACCTGTCCTCTGCTGTCTTCAGTGATCAGGACTCTGGATCAGCATTATGCCATCCCTTTGTGCACGGAGGAATGCTCATAAACTCATCAAATTCTTTCACATGAATATCACAGCACTTCCACTGCAAAATAATGTGATAAAGGAAAAATATATATAGTTCTCGGAAATCATATCACAACTACAAGCATTATTTATTAAAAAAACTACAATAAACTAAGAACATTCAGTGGAATATTTAAACTGACCCCTCTCATCCGGTCATGAAAAACAGCAGGGCCAGGATGGTAGCTGCAAGCAGTTTCATGATTATCCTTTTCCTTGAAAGTTTGACCACATCCTTTATTTTTACATACTTGGGGCTCATTTATATCAACTATCTTCTTAGGTTTCGGAGCCTGGACACTTGAATTGTTATCAGCAGAGGCATCTCCAGCAAAATTTGCAGGCTTTTCTCCAATGATATTTACGGCTTTGTTTTGTGAACCTAAAAAAATAAGAGGGGGATAGGAGATGAAAAATTAGCTCTGGAAGCATGGATAAAGGATCACTCAAAAATTACCAACAAAAGGACTTGGGACAGTGCTAAAAGCAGACACGCGAATACCATGATCTGAGCAAAAGAAACCCTGCCGACACCTGGAACAAGAGTCCTTCGATGATGCATTGCTTGAAGAAACTGCAGTTGGTGGGGGTGTGGTGTTCTTCTTAACCTGTGTAAATACTTGCTTTTCTGTTGTATGTTTTCCTGTCTTACATCTTGATTGCAAAGAGAAACTTTGATCAACAAATGGAGGGAATATTAAAATAAAATGAAAACAATAGACAAATGCGATTAACTTTTTTTATACTCTAGGATATTGAAGCAAGCATCACGAAAACCAATAAACCATATTTGCAAAACAAAACCTGCTTATGCTTATTACATTATGTACGATCTAATACCATAAAGAGCCCTCCAAAGATAAATTTAGACGTCTGCAGGAGTTAATGAGGATGTCCTGAGGAGCAGCAGATATTTTCAATTGAAAATATTATGAGAAAATTTATACAAGAATTGCTGCTAGGTAGAACCCTCTTCTAATTTCCATTTCAATATTCTTACATTAGAAAGCATATTTTTCTCAGTGAGCATTTACTGCCACTAAAAGTAAAACATCCATAATCAACCATTCTTACTACCCATCTCAATGGTCCTTTTTCCTTTCTCAATAACCAAAAGTCAACTCAATGACCTCCCAATAGATTCTATCCAAGGTAGTCAAAATCGAGATTCTAGTTCGACTCGGAACAAGGTCACAGGTTCGTATTTCGTAGACTTGTAACACGAAATGTAAGATTCTACTAAAATTATAAAGTCCAAATATATGCATCTAACATAGTATAAATAAGAGGGGAAAAGACCATCATAACACATGGAATACTTAATTTAAGCTTAAATTCATAATAACAGATTCATAAGCATAAAAAAGGCAATATCTAAACTTCATACAGAATTGAAATAACCAACAAAACAACTCAAAAAGTTAAAATACTGCAATGCAGTAACAAAACAACTTAAACCACGTAGTTTAGACCTCTAATAGACTAAGGTAGCGTTCAGCTTTTTTCCAACTTTTTTTTCCTTAAAGTGAAAGCTAGGTCAAAAACTTTTTTATAAAAACTCTGAAAAAAATTATCTATTAATATTATATATAATAAACTATCTCTAAATCATCAATAAGTGATTTTTTACACTTTTAAAAATTATAAATAATTAATTAATTTCCACAAATTAATTTTATAAATGTACTTATTTGTTATATAATTTTTTTTTATAAAATATAATTTTATGTTAAAAAAAATGAAAATTAACAAACAACTTTTACTTTTTTTTCAGGTTCGGAGTTTTAACTTATACTTAAAAGTAACTTTATGTAAATAAAATAAAATACCACAACTCCATGACTCAAATCCTGAATAGGTTAAGTTTGGATTACGGGCTATATTTCTATTAAGCTCAAAATGAGAAAGAGACCCAATAAAAAGGGACCCAAAACGAAAACAAGACCCAAAATGAAAATGAAAAAAACTTACACTGACCAAAAAAGTAGAAAAAATTGAATGGAATCCCTAAAAAATGGGAGACGTAAAAATCATCACCCCTATGGATTCTACATGTCTGCACAACAATTCCGCTGTTCCTGGTTCTGAGTGGTTTTGTGTGTGAACAAACAAGCATAGGGGGGGTGGGGGGGGGGGGGGGGAATCGCCCAATCGTCCGATTCTACATCCCACAAAGCCATTTTGACTACCTTGATTCTACCAAAAAAAAAACTCTTTTAAATTGACTAGTTGACTGCAGACTAAATCTTCACATTCTAAAATAGGTAACCAGAGAAAAGGAACAGAGAAGATCTCTCACCCTGGAATTTCCAAAAACAAGCTGAAATCATGACTTCTTTTCTTGCAACAACTCCATTCTTTTGTTCCATCATGAAATATAGGCTGGAAATTAAAGTAGAAACTTAATCAATTGCAACAAACTGATAACTAAACTTCATAGAAAATAAAACACTGAAGAAATAGATTGGTAGGCATGGACTTACTCCCTGAACAAATGCCCCAGCATTAAATCCAAGTCCCAAACATGCCAGATGGAAAGTGAATCCGTAAGATCTCATATGGATGCCGTATCATAAATCATCACAAATGATATAACAGGGGATTTACAATTATACAAAGTTCATGAGTATGCATTAGTGATGACATTAGCTAAAAGAATGTTTCCAGAGCTCATGAAATTATGGTGCACACAAACAAATTTTAGTTTAGAGATGAACGCTAGATTTTTCAAAAGTTAAACAGTATGGATGAAGAAACTTGTTTTAGTAACGCATATGTAGCCTCAGAACAAATAATACTCCAAATTAGAACATAAAATTCGGAAAGAAACAACATAATGTGAAATATAAAAAAAAATCCTCAATGGTAATTCCCAAGTATCTGACAGGGATAACAATCTAAGAACCATTTATTAGAAGAGCTTTTTGCAAGAGCTGCTTACTCTTGAATCCATACAATGCAAGCCTAATCCTCTATGCCTCTAAGTGGAAATACTGTTGTATCACTATCAAGGCAGTTAGGGATAGTTGCACTTGAAATCCAGTGAAACACTTGAAATCCATAGTCATCAATCTTGGATAGTGGCTGACCCCAAAAATGCTATAAAAGATAGTGCATAGCAGGATGACCGCTATTATGAATTTTTCTATTCTCAATTCAAGAAATATCATAATTAACAACACGTGTTCAAACTTCCAATATAGTTTTGTATTTTAGATATCTGCATTAAAATTACACAATTTACTTGTGTTCACGCTAGAGAACACATTCGCCAGGAAGTTCTAAAGTTGGGTAGGAACTCAAGAAACCTCAACAAGTTCTAGACAATGTGACCGTGCATGACCTGATCAGAACACGACAATTTAACAAGCTGCGTATAATGTAGTGCCTCTCACGTGTGAGGAGGGGGTAGTAGCAATGGTGCCCTAGTCACATGTGGGAAGGATCTAGAATCTTGTTGCGCTAGTCCCAAAGACTTGAGGCCTATAGACCCTAAGACTGTAATGTGAGAGTGAGTTAGTTAGAGTGGTCTGGTCAACAAGTGTTGGGCTCACTGGAAGCTATCTTACCCAGTCGGCCATGCACTGCACCAAACAACTTGTTCCTCTAACCTTTTCAGGACTCAATTTTGACTACCTTGGTCAATAGACAACCAAATCACCCGAGCAAGCAGCTCTAACATTCTTTTATAATCCTAAGGATTCTTAGTCAAAGTGCTAAACGACTTCCATACAATGTCACTCGAGCTGAACTACAAAATTCATAATATATTAACAGTTAATGAGAAAATCAAAGGAGTAAAAAGTACAAAATTCATAATTTATTGCGCATGTGGACGTAATATCTATATGAGCAGTTGATTTTGTCATGAATGATGGGGATTTCTTTCTTTTTCCTATAAAGTGAGCGAAATCCCACAAGAACAGGCACAAGCTTAAATGAAACAAAGACAAGATCTTTAATCTAGTGCGACAACCGAATTGCAATATAAAAGGTGGAAGAAGAGGATTGAACAAGACCCAATTTGCAGATAGATTAATTAGTTGTATAATGATTCTGGGAAGGCTTAAACCATAGGCAAGGCAATTTATTGAAAGAAAAAGAAAAGGTTAGGGCAAGGCATTAAGTGAAATTAAAAATGGGAAGAGTACCGAATCATGGTATCGACAGGAACCGTCGGGATTGTCGTCCACGTAGAACATAGCGTCGCAGCCAATCCTCTGGCATCGAACTTTAACTGCTCTCGTCTCCATTCTGAACACGATCCCACAACTTTCAGGCGCTAAACAACGCAACGCAACAAAAACGACTGTCTTCTGATTTTATTTTTATTTATCCAACGCACCAAACTCAAAAGTAAAGCGAAATAGGGAACAAAAAAAAAAAAAAAAGCTTTTTCCTCTCCGTTTACACTCAACTTCCAGCAGGTTCCAGTTTTTGAGTTATGTTAGACTCGCTAGAACCCTGTAAATCTTGGGAGCAGTAAATCCATTTTTTTATTCAACTTCAATTTTCAAGATAAAGTGAAAGAAAAAAAAATCTAGTAAACAATTCAAAATACTAATGAATCCAATATATCCTCTCCTAGTATATTATAAATCTTAATCTTAGTTTTAATTGAGAATGAATTAACTATTAATTATATTATACTACTAGTATTTTAATCTCATAAGATAATTTTTTTATATAATAAATAATTAGATTGATTCAAATTGGGCATCTCGCACGCTGGAAATGGGCTGTGCCCTCTACTGCATCAAGCCCATCCATAAATGTCGTGTGTTTGTTATGAGTAATAGCAGGCCCGTCCTCTATTGGGCTAAGTTTCTTCTACGCATTTACAGGCAACAGGCAACTAGCATGTTGTAGACCCATGTATGCTCCTTAGTCCATTGACATAGATGAAGAGAAAAATATTATACTCAATATTTTCTCTTAATACAGTGTAGCAACCTCGGTCGCGACGGGACGGCGAAAAATAAAAATTAATTGGTTTCAATTAGGTCCCTAATAAATTAATTGGTTTCAATGTGGGGCTTTCGTCCAAATTTCTTTAACGGTGTTAACTATTGGCCACGTGGATGCCACATAGATGCATAGGTGGATGTCACGTGGATGTCACGTGGATGCCAATTTTTTTGAAAATACCTGGAACCAGAACGGCTCGTTCTGAAACCAGAACGGGCCGTTCTGGATGCACTCTTGGTGTGTTAATTTTGCATCTGAAACAGGCCGTTCCAGATGCAAAATTAACACACCACGAGTGTAACGACCCGGCTGGTCACTACACACGGCACCGTACACTAGAAACACCAAGCAGATAGAACAAGTATATAAAAATAGGATCTAGAATATATAAATATACAAAGTTCTAGTTTGACTAGAGTTAAAGTGTACAAAAAGATACATCATTTAGTTACTACAATAAGTAGCTAAGCAACAAAAGACAAATATCCCAAGACAGATCAGCTCCATCAGTCAGCTACAGCTTCACTACCAGTCACAACCTATCCCTGTTCTGCTCCCATACAAAGTATAATCATTGCAGTCCAAACCACATGGAAATAACAAGGGTAAGCTAGTGTATATAAAAATCTCAGCATATGGAAGAATTTAAACAGTAATAGAGATTTCTACCATCAACAATTCATCAATTGCATATTCAGTCAATTATTTCCACACAAAATCTTTCCACACAAAATCTACCAGTACACACAAAATGCGTCGTCACGCATGTCACCTCGGAGATCTCCTACAACACCTCAGTCTTTCGACCTACAACACCTCAGTCTTTCGGCCTACAACTCCTCAGCCTTTCGGCCTACAACATACAAAAGCAACACACACAGAGCAACACAACCTTTCAACTTAACAAATCAAACTTACAACATTTCGCAACTGATACAACTCACATAACAACTAACAACAATATTCCACTATATATTTATATATATATATTGTTGTTAGTTGTTATGTGAGTTGTATCAGTTGCGAAATGTTGTAAGTTTGATTTGTTAAGTTGAAAGGTTGTGTTGCTCTGTGTGTGTTGCTTTTGTATGTTGTAGGCCGAAAGGCTGAGGAGTTGTAGGCCGAAAGACTGAGGTGTTGTAGGTCGAAAGACTGAGGTGTTGTAGGAGATCTCCGAGGTGACATGCGTGACGACGCATTTTGTGTGTACTGGTAGATTTTGTGTGGAAAGATTTTGTGTGGAAATAATTGACTGAATATGCAATTGATGAATTGTTGATGGTAGAAATCTCTATTACTGTTTAAATTCTTCCATATGCTGAGATTTTTATATACACTAGCTTACCCTTGTTATTTCCATGTGGTTTGGACTGCAATGATTATACTTTGTATGGGAGCAGAACAGGGATAGGTTGTGACTGGTAGTGAAGCTGTAGCTGACTGATGGAGCTGATCTGTCTTGGGATATTTGTCTTTTGTTGCTTAGCTACTTATTGTAGTAACTAAATGATGTATCTTTTTGTACACTTTAACTCTAGTCAAACTAGAACTTTGTATATTTATATATTCTAGATCCTATTTTTATATACTTGTTCTATCTGCTTGGTGTTTCTAGTGTACGGTGCCGTGTGTAGTGACCAGCCGGGTCGTTACACTCGTGGTGTGTTAATTTTGCATCTGGAACGGCCTGTTTCAGATGCAAAATTAACACACCAAGAGTGCATCCAGAACGGCCCGTTCTGGTTTCAGAACGAGCCGTTCTGGTTCCAGGTATTTTCAAAAAAATTGGCATCCACGTGACATCCACGTGACATCCACCTATGCATCTATGTGGCATCCACGTGGCCAATAGTTAACACCGTTAAAGAAATTTGGACGAAAGCCCCACATTGAAACCAATTAATTTATTAGGGACCTAATTGAAACCAATTAATTAGTTTGGGACCAAATTGAAACTGAAAATAAAAGTGAGACTAAATTGAAACAAACAATTATTATAAATGACCAAAATAGGTCAGGTATTTTCAAAAAAATTGACATCCACATGTCATCTACGTGGCATCCACGTGGCCAACAGTTAACACCGTTAAAGAAATTTGGACGGAAGTCCCACATTGAAACTAATTAATTTATTAGGGACCTAATTGAAACTAGTAAAGATGAAATGACATAGTATTTTTCCTTGAAGTCATTAACGATGTACCCCAACAACAACCTGTTTTTGAAGAGGTAGAATTTGATGTGAGCACGGGGGCTCAAAATATTGATAAAGGCTTGAAATATTAGAGGCTTGAAAATATTAAAAGAGTGAGCACGGGGGCTCGAAAGATTGATAGAGGCTTGAAACATTAAAAGAGTGAGCACGGGGCTCAAAAAAATGATAGAGGCTTGAAAATTAAAAGAGTGAGCATGGGGCCTCGAAAGAATGATAGAGGCTTGAAAATTAAAAGAGAGAGCACGGGGGCTCGAAAGATTAATAGAGGCTTGAAACATTAAAAGAGTGAGTACGGGGGCTCGAAAGATTGAAAACATGGGCGCGGGGACCCGAAACATAAAAGAGTGAGCGCGGGGACTCAAAATATTAAAAACATGGGCGCGGGGACCCGAAACATAAAAGTGAATGCGGGGCTTGAAAGATTAAAAACGTGGGCGCGGGGACCCGAAACATTAAAGAGTGAGCACGGGGGCTCGAATCATAAAAGAGTGAGTGTGGGGGCTCAAAACATGGGCGCGGGGACCTGAAACATAAAAGTGAGCGCGAGGGCTCGAAAGATTAAAAACATGGGCAAGGGGACCCAAAATATAAAAGAGTAAGCGCGGGGGCTCAAAACATGGGCGCGGGGGCTCAAAACATTAAAAAGGTGAGCACGGGGGCTCAAAACATTACGTGGCGAACAGTTAACTCCGTTTAAATAATTTGGACGGAAGTCCCACATTGAAACCAATTAATTTATTAGGGACCAAATTGAAACTAATTAATTAGTTTGGGACCAAATTAAAACCAAAAATAAAAGTGAGACTAAATTGAAACAAACAATTATTATAAGAGACCAAAATAAGTTTTTAGTCTATAAATAAGTAAATTATTAACTTTTTTTTTTCCATTTAAATTCTTTAATTTTTTGTAAAGTGATTAAAAAAAGTAAAAAGTAGAGGTTTGATTTGATCCGGAATTGTCCCGTGTGAGTAATGGCCAATGTCTGTACTTTTCATTGATTGCCGGCACCACTCTATATCTTTTTTTGTTTTTTTGAGCACTGCTATAAAATTCAAAAGATATTCCAAATCATTGTCCGAATTATTAAAATATTATTATTATTTTAATAAATTTATTATAAAATAATTGATTAATTTAATATTTTATTATTTAAATTAATTTTTTTAATAATTCGGAAGAATTTTCGATTTCATCTTTCAGACGATGCAGCATTTTCCTAAAATTTAGTACTCTACGAGTAGTATTATACTCTTCACATTTCCTTCTTTGGTACAGTTTTTCTGTTGCAATTAATTCTCAAATTCTTCCAATCGCAAATTCTTCTTTCTCTCTTTATTATAACTTGTTAATTTCTTCAATGGACTGGTTTTTCTCACTCAAATTTAATCAACAACATTTATACTCAACGTACTTATCCACTAATGCCAAAAGTAAGAGCTTACTATCACACTTTTCTCTATTATAAACAAAACTAATTAATTATATATATATATAT